GGAATAGGAACAGTCATGAAGAATCCACGCTATTTTTTCCAGAATTAAATGAGTTGAGTTTTATGCTAGTCCCCCACTCAGTGTGCGCTCCACCCCGGTGCATGACTGCTTCATCCCACCCAGGGGCTTCTGAGTCCTGACCACCTCCCCCATCCTTGCTCTCTTCAGCTCTTCCCCTCACCCCCATGCACCACCTCATCCTCAGGACCAGAGTCTTCTCACGTGCTCTGTTTGAACAAGACTGATGTAGTCTTTCTCCAATAAACAAGTAAGTCCTTCCTGATGGGACCCTACAGAGAAATTGTGTCTTTCTGTTCTCCCTATGTTTCTTGTCCCCTCCCTTCAGCCCAGGAAGAAGAGCAGCCTGTTGCTCCTAAGACACCCTCTGGTCCCTTGTAGCTCTGGTGCAGAACTTAGTCACTCACATACTCCTGGGACCCTCATGACTAAACCAAGAGACTGTCTTTCAGGAGTAAAGAAGCTGGAGGTCACTCTGTAAGATAAACTGAAACCGAAAGGCTAAGCAATTGCTCAAGCCACTCAGCCAACGTGATCACTCATTTATACATCCTAGGAGATGAAATGTTGAACAAAGAACCTTGCCCTCTTGGACCTTACAGTCTAGCACAAGGATTAGCAAAGTTTTTAAATAAAGGTCCAGAGATTAAATATTTTAAACCACGTGGACCTTAGAGGCTCAGTCTCAACTACTTAATTCTGCCACCGTGGTGTGAAAGCAGCCGCAGATTGTACATAAAGTGAATAAGGTGGCTGTATTCCAATAAAACCTTATTTCCAAAAACAGGTGATGAACTGGATTTGGCTTGCAGACCATATTTTGCTAACCCCTGGACTAGGTAATTACATGGTTCAATAGAGTTGGTGAGTCAAAGGAGAGATATGCCACTTTGGGAACATAAAATAGGAGGACCTGGGAACCACAGGAGGTGTTCCTGAAAAGTGTCATTTTAACTGTGGTATATATACACAATGGAACATTACTCAGCATTAAAAGAAAAGAAAATCATGGCATTTGCAGGTCAATGGATGGAGTTGAGAATATAATGCTAAGTGAAGCAAGCCAATCCCCCAAAACCAAAGACTGAATGTTTTCTTTGCTATGAGGATGCTGACTCATAATGGTGACGGTAGGGGAGCATGGGAGGAATGGAGGAACTTCAGATAGGACAAAGGGGAGAAGAGGGAAAGGAGGGGGCAAAGGGGTAGGTATGGTGGTGAAATGAGTTAGACATCATTACCCGAAGTATATGTATGAAGACACGAATGATGTGAAAATACTTTGTGTACAGTCAGTGACTTGAAAAATTGTGCTCTGTATGTGTAATATGAAATGAACTGCATTCTGCCATCATGTATAAAAATTAGAATAAATAAATAATTTAATTTAAAAATAAAGAAAAGTGTCATTTTAAGTGAAATCTAAGGATAAAGAGTCATGAATTACTTGAAGAGGAAGCCTGGGAAGGAAGGAAGAAGTGTTTCAAGATGACACACTAGCTGGTGCAAAGGCCTTGTGGCAAAAGAGGTCATGGCTTTTCTCCAAGTACTTGAGTAAGGGTTGAAGGGCAAGAGGAAGGGCAGTTGAAGCCACCTCTTGCAGTGAGCTGGTTCAGAACACAGGACAAAAATGCAGTCTTAATCCTGAGAGCTATGGGAAACCATTGTACTTATGACTTCATTGAATTTTTTGTGAATGAAGTGCTCATTCTGGTTTCTAGCAGGGTATTCCACTGTGACGAACCAGAGGAGAAGGGGGACACACTGTAGTACTTTATTATAGCTAGAGCCCATCCCTGGAACCCCGAGATGATGGACAGACAGCTCCGCTCCCTTTTTCCCTATGAACCCTTTATTTTGTGTTTTCTCTACTTGCTAGCAGATCTTCCCTTTCCTCCCTTCTGAATGAAGATTTTTACTGCACTATGCATTGACGGCCACGTCTCCACCCCATTCCATTTTTTCTTACCTTTCTTCTTTCCCTCCCCAGTCCAATCCCCGACTAACTTTGTAAAACTTGCAAGTTAAATTTTTCAAAGAATGTTTCTGACAAAGCAGTGGGAATTAGATTTGGTGAAGCCCTTCATAAAAAATTGAAGACATGCTATATTAACATACATTGATTTATTCATAGTGTTTCATTACAAGTAAGTGAGGATCCTGTAATACCAGGAAAGGTTAGGAGAGCAGGGAAGTGCGGTATATTATATTGACAGCTCCGTGGAAATTGAGTCGCTTTTGGATTGAATTTGGAGCGTAGGAACGGAGCTGGCTAGTAAATAAGGCATGAGTTTTACCTCCCAGTGTCTGTATATCAATGGAGTTGCCACCAGCCCAGGCAGGGGGACAGGGACAGGAATTTTGAAGGAATGAAAAAGCATGTCCTCTCCACTGGCATGCTGTGGCTGGTGGCCACTAGCCCAGCTCTGAGCGTTTTTCTCTTCTGTGGCTACAGAAACCAGAATCCAAATACACACTTGCCCTGTTTGCTCCCCACTTGACAGTCACCCTGTACTTGCCTCTATGCAGACTTTGGCCACCCCATCAGGACTTTGCCCAGACTGGTCCCTCTGCCTGCCTCTTTCCTCTGCCCTGACTGTACCATCCTGCAGGTGCTACTTCCTATCTCTCCTGAGATGCCTTCCTGGGTGTTCTGGGTTTGGCACTGCTCAGAAGCAGACCCTAGGATGAGGATTCAAAGCTAAGCAGATTACTGAGAAGTTTTGGAAATAGCAGTGAGGACCTAGGGACTGGGGAAGAGAGAAATTCATAACCAATGATCAGAGTGTGTTCGAGTCAGCTGCCTTGCAAGACAAATGGAGCTGAGGCCCTCAGGGAAAGTGGGGGGCTGCAGGATACCACAAGACAGGAGCCTGGGGAATTAATGGGGCAACCCCAGTCAGTCACTGGGAGCACCCAATCAGGAAGCCCTCACGCACAGAGGGCTGAAGGCTTGTAGCGCTTGCCTCTCAGAAGAGAGAGGGAGACCAGAGGGAACCTGGGACAGGCCCATTAGAGCAACCTGAGCAATGAGTGAGACCGTCAGGTTCCACCTATGGAAAGCCCAGTTCACCAGTGCTCTGCATTTCTCCCGGGCTCACTCTGCTCCGGGCCAAGTCTGCTCTTGTGAGCACATGGCATCAGTTTCTACTCCATCCCTGCTGCACACAGGAGGGAGAAAGCATCTCTTTCTCCTCAACACTTGGTGCCACTGCCAGAAACAGCCAATCGCTTATTGTTAAAGTTAAGTTGGTGTGTCCCCTTTCCTGCCTGGATCTGACCATCCTGTAACGTTGGCATATTCGTGATGGGAGATAAAATGACGTGAACTGTCTGTATAGCTAGCTGGCTTGCCTCTCTCTAGAATGGAAGCCACTCGAGGATGGGCTTCTGTCCATTTGGAGTCCCCAGCAGCATACAGCGCAGAGCCAGAAGTACAAGAATATGCAGGAAATGTTGGATGTTGGTGAAGGAGCAAAGGAGCAGATAAGTGGATACATTCTTAACTAGTGAGCCATGTCTGCAGGCCAGGCGGTGTGGTGCAGAATAACAAGCACAGGCTTTGAGGTCAAGACCGGGGTTGAATCCAGCATCAGGATGGATGATGGAGTCAACCTGAGCATACATGATTGGCATCTGCATGGGATGCATGGTGACTCTCAGGACACGTGAGGAAAAGGCCAGACACAAAAGAGCACACACTGCTGGATTCTTAACAGTTCAAAACAGGCAAAACCAGTCCATGCTGAGAAGTGAGGTGAGCCTTGCTAGGGGAGGCAGGAAGGATTGGAAGCAGGCCTGAGGGGAAAGGCTTGGGTCTGGAAACGTTCTGTTTCTTGATTTTATCACTCTTTTGTTTGCAAAAATTCTGGAGCAGTAAAGTTCTCTGTATGTATATTATAGTTTAATAAAACATATTTAATGGAACAAACAAGATAAGAAAACAAACAAAAATCCTATTTATGCTGCTTACTGCATAATTCAGACATGTGGCTCTCAAAGTGGGACCCATGGTGGCCTGTGCCACATGACCAATTTTCAATTACCTTCACAGCAAGGTAAGTGCAGAAATTGAGAGTGAGCACTCCAGAAGCTTTTACACTGTGACACCCACCTGTGTGGTCAGTGGCCAGTGGACACAAGTCATGGCCCAGTATAGACAGGTTTTGCTGAACTCGCAGGATAAGCCATGTGGGGTGGGGACTTTGGATTACTATTGATCCAGAGTGGATTGGAAAACCCCAAACTGGGTCTTTGCTACTGATAGTTTGAAACGTGTCGATTTAATGCAAGTAATTTCCAGTGGAGGTTCAGTTTCTCCATTATTAAAATGAAAACAATACTTGTTCCCCCACATTTGGGGGAAGAGCAACCAGATAAGGCATGCAGAAACACCAGGATGTAAACCATATCCCTGTGGAGGGCCGGCCCCGGGATCTGCAATTTAACAAGCCTTCTTCATAATTCTTACTGGGTTACTGCATTTAGACATTGCTCTTAAGCACCAGTCTCAGAGAGCTACTTACTGTACTTCTGAAATGTGGCTAGACTGTGTTGAAGTGTCCTTTAAGCATAAATTCCATACCCCCAGATCGCTCAACATAAATATGAATTTCATATGAATATTAGAATATAAACTGTCTCATTAAATGTTTTTATGCTGATCACAGGTTGAGATGTTGAAATTCTGAATATATTGGGTCCAACAAGATATAACTACCCTTTATTCTTTTTAATGCTATGACTCGAACACATAAAATGACATGTGTGGCCACGTTCTCTTTCTATTGGTTGTGGCTGCTCCAGCAGGGGGCTATTCAGGGGCTGGGTTAATCTGCAAAGTGGACAGTAGCAGGTGGCTCTGCAGGACTTTCTGACTGTAGCTCATCTGCTGTCATCTGTCCACCTCTGATGTTCCAACCAAATGAATTCCTTTCTGCTCTCTGAGTGGCTGTTGGTTTCTTTGTCGCCTTGCCATGCAGATCAACTACAAGGCTGTAGGCTCACTGGACCCCAGTGCCGACCTCTCCAGCCAGAGGGGGAAAGTGTTTAAGCTCCGGAATGAAACTCACCACCTCTTTGTGGGTCTATACCCAGGGACCACCTACTCCTTCACCATCAAGGCCAGCACTGCCAAGGGTTTTGGACCCCCGGTCACCACTCGGATCGCCACCAAAATTTCAGGTATCTCTTTTAGAAATCAAAAAGGAAGAAAAATTGCCCCCTATCCCTGCCCCATTCCTAATTTTCCTGGGAATAAAAAGAGACAGAGTCAACTGTCCCTGCACGGTACGGTATGTCAACAACTAGGAGAAGGCAGTCCCTAGTGGGTTACCGTTGCAGCCTTACAAAGGAACCTAATCAATGAACTTCCTAAAGTGTAAAAAAATACATTAAATCAGGTGGCAGTTCACCAGATGACTTTCCCAGGGTCACATTAAATAGTGTGAATATGGTTGATGTAAAGAGAGGGGGAAAGGACACCCTTCAAAGCTGGTTTGTAATTTTATTCTCAGAAATATTCTTTTTGCCAGTGCAAGACACAGTATGATTGCTCATGAGGCCTCTGAGGAACGAATGAATGACCATGACCAAGACACAGTGACCCCACTATCCCAGCCACCATATCCATCCGGGCTGCCTTCACCACTGGAGAGTATCCTCTTGGAATGCCTTTCCTAAAACCACTTTCACCTTTCACAATCTCTCCTCCATTCTGGTGTAGAAGCACACACATTTTGTGTGTGGTTTCCAAACACCACGATGTTTTGTAGCTTAATATTTCTACTTGTTTGGATCCCATAAGCATTCCCCCTGTTGCCGAATTGCTCCCCTTAATGTTCCGTCAAGTGGATGGACGTAATTTAATTAAACATTCCCCTGTGGTTGGATATATTTGGTGCCTCCATGTTTTTGTAAAATAACGCTTCAATAAACATGTTACCAAATAAAGTGTAATTCGTTGGTTCGGATTATAATTTTAGGATTAAATTCAGAAATTGAAAAACTGAATTAGAAGGGATGTGGGTTTTAATAGCTCTTAATATAAATGGCTAAATTACCTTTTCAAAGGATTAGGTTTAGTCACACTCCTCTTGGGGTGGAGAGGGTCTCAAGAAAAAAAGAAAAAGTAGCAGGGGGAACTAATTCATCATTGCTTTCATTTGCATTTAAATGCGTTTAACATGGTTGACTTTGCTTTCGCATCTTTATTAACTATGTATATTTCTTGCATGTATCTGTATTCCGTGAGGAACTCTGTGATTCTTTAGGGTGACTGGTCACATCAATGCCACCTTTCTCGAGGCTGCTGCTCTTTGAAGGAGCCTCCAGGCGGCAGGTTGGAAGTCAGGGCTTCCTCTGACGCATGTGACTCCCTCTAGTCATCTGGAGGGTCTATAAGGATGGCATCAAGGGGAGGTGGTGAGTGCAGTTAGGGAACTGTGCTGAGCTCACCCCCATCTCTGTTCCCTCCGCAGCTCCATCGATGCCTGAGTACGACACGGATACCCCCCTGAATGAGACGGACACAACCATCACGGTGATGCTGAAGCCCGCTCAGTCCCGGGGAGCCCCCGTCAGGTGAGGAGGTTCTTCCTTTGGAGTTTGCAGCTTTCCTTCCCAGTACCATACACAACTCCGGTTGAGTCATGTGACTGGCCATGTGCATGGGCAACACAGGCCAGGAGCAAGACTTCCCAAAGAGAAGAGGTCGGCAGTCTGAGACTAATCCAGAGGGGCCTCAGAGCCAGACCATCTCCTCCCACAGTGGAATGTTCAGAGGGAACACGCTGATAGGAACCTGAAGATGGTCAGGGAGAGAACTTTCTGGAGCATGATTATGGTAAATTTAGTAGAATTGGGAACCTGGATACAGGCCCCTGGCAAGATCACAATACTCACTCTCAGGAAGAGAGAGAGAGACTTGCTGAACTCTCAAGATAACCTGCTCAGAGATCAGGAACAGACCCCAGTCTAGGGCATGGAGTGTTAGAGTCCCACAGGGACCGTGCCATTCAGGTTACGCTACTGATTTTAACAAGAGGGCAGTAGCATATAGATGCCCACACAGCCAAAGCATCTTTGAAGTTAAGCTGACCAGTGTCATTCCATGCTGCAAGCAGGGTGGGCATCTCTTTTTAGCAAGTTACACTTTGAACAAGGGCAGTGATCTTGTCCTCTGGTTTTCCTCAGAACTCCAGGTAATAGGACTAGTCCATTGAAACAAAGCTGTGTCCTGGATAGAACAACTTTCAGATTGGTGCAATGCAGTTCCACAAACAAACATTGAGCACCTCGTGTAGTTAGAATGGAGAGTGACACAGGGACACCAATGATTCATTCAAGACACATTTTTATTAAGTACCCACTCTGTCTCAGGCATTATTTAAGTACTTGGTAAAACAGTAGAGAACTAGCCATAAATAAATAAGTTAGGTGTAAAGGCAACCAAATCAACGTGGAAAGCAGAAATATGAAAACATAATTATAATAAGGACATCCTTATAGAGATAAGCACAGCTCATTATGGGCTCTCACAGGACAGAATTCTCAGGGAGGTGACACCAGGTCACCTCTTCAATGTAAGATTTTACTTAAGTTGCAAGTGTCCACATGGGCAGAGGCACTGGGGAGAGAGGCAGCTTGCTGGAATGGAAAGCAGCCATGCCTGCTTAGATTTGCATTAACATAAAGGTCAAGGCTGGAGGGCAGGGTGAGAGTGGGCAGCGTTTGAGAGGCTGAAGCTTATGTGAGGGCCATGGGAGCCACTGGAGAATTGCATGCAGCAGTATCATTCTTAGTGTCCCTGGAGGCTAAGAGACCTGTCTGGAAGGAGGCTCTTGAGAAGGTCCTAGTCTTCATTTTCCAATGTACATCTAGCTCAACCCAGATATTATAGGCAATGAAGCAGATGGAATCAACTGCCAAATTTTGGAAGTTCCTGCCTACTCTAAAGACTTTGGACAATGCTCCTGCCCACTAGAGGAATTTCAGTCCCTGTAACAGTCACGGGTCATGTTTGTGGGTTTCCTACTGTAGCATTTTGGTCTGAGATTCCACACATTGGTTGTTCTAGGGCTGTCCTACCTGTGATGAGCCAAAACAGAGGGTGGCTCTAAGTCAAGTCACATTATGAACCCCCTGTTTTTCTTCCAGTCACTCTACTGTAGCATGGCCATTCAGTTTTTCTCTGTATGCTGTGAGATATTATCTTCATTTTCAGATGAAGAAACTGAGATACCCAAAGGCAGACAGTCAGCAAGTAGGAAAACTGAGTTTAAATGTGGGATGTGTGGGTGTCAAATCATGGGTCCTGTTTTGGCCAGCAATGCCTTACTCCCTTTAAGAATTCTCTCTTCTGATATACAGTAGGATCAGTCACTATTTCAAAACCTTAGAAAGCTTTCCAGATGGCAAGAGTGCAGCCCAGAGAAGGGCAGCAGCTTTCTCAAGGTTGCACATCAAGTTAGCAACTGGCACACAGCAAAGCTCAGGTCTGACCCCAAGTCTATGATCTTTTGTAGAAGACCCAGCTCTCTGAGCCTATAAATCTATAGCAAAGGGACCTGATCCCTGGCACCTCAGAGTACAGACTCCTGGTAGGGGTGGAGTTAGGCTCATTGCCCCCAGTCTTCTGGCTGTGTGTGGGCCAGGGAAAGAGTGTGAGTTTGGTGGCACTGAACCTGGATTTCAATCTTGCTCAATCACTGCTATGTGAACATTAGACAAAATATTCTCTCCTCCCTTCCACCAACTCTTTTTCCCTCTCTCTCAGACTCAATTCTCCTTATCTGTAAAGTGTGGACACTATTTCACAAAGACTGAATAAAACAGAGAAATACTTAGATCCAGGCATCTAGGCATGCCTGACCCAACACACCAAGATCTTTCCGGCCCCCCACCTCCCCCTAGCAAAGGGGCCCTCTGAGGAGCCCAAGCCAAATGCATGGGAAAACATTTCCAGATCCACAAACAGAAACCCTTACCCTTAGTTTGCACATATCTTTAATAAGCTCAGGTGCCCTTAGACTACAGTGAATGATGAGAGAGAAGGAGGTGGAAGTGCCCCAGCAGCAGTGAGAAGTGAGATTGGCAGGAAGCACAGGCCACTAGGGCCACTCTACTTGTGCAGACACAGGTACTCAAATATCAACACGCTGCAGCCCCTCACAGCCATGGGGCTCATTCTTTGTCCTGGTCTAACAAAAATATGTGAGATTTTAGCTTAAAAGGGCCTACTAACTTTTGCTTAGTGAGTAAGCACTTGCTGTGTGCCTGTGGCCATACATAATAACATCATCTGTATCTTCAGTAGCGGTCTCCTGGTTTGCAAATATGAAAATTGAGATAAAAAGAAGCTACATGAGTTGGCGCAGGCCACGAGACAACCAGTGGCACAGGCAAAATTTCAGCCCAGTTCTGACCCTAACCCTGTGCTCACTTCACTATACCATACCACCTCCCTCTGAGAAAAGTATGCATGATGTATTCTGGTGACATTTCCATCCAAAAAATTAAAATTAAAGAAATGTCACTGCTCAAAGGGGAAGTGGTTGGTGTCTGGAAATGTCTGGCTGCTTTTCTTTCCAGGGCTCTGGATCACTGAGGGTGGGAGCTCTCTGTTATTTTCAGACCATTGCTTGGGCTTCAGCCAACAAGGGGAAGAGACTAACTAATGCCACCCAGTAAGACTTTCAGGACAACTGCAATGACAGGGTGAAAATATCACAGTAGGTTTCAGTTACTTTAATCTATTTTTACCTTAAACCCCAGGCCCTCAGATGGGCATGTGGGGGGCAGATGGCCATTAAGTTGTTTAACACACACTTACAGAGCACTTGCTAGTTACCAGGAAGTGAGCTGAGCAAGAGGCAATGGGAGTATAGCAAGAGGCCAGACAGACGCATCCCTGCCTTCTTAGGCTCATTAACCTATAAGCCTGCTTGTGAATTGGCGGGGAGAGGGGCATTAGGCAAATAAGCAAACAAAATAACAAAATCAGCAGTACATAAGGCACTACGGAGCCAGTAGAACAGGGGTCATTTTGATGGAGTGGGGTCAGGGGGCAGATGGAGAGACGAGCACCACCCAGGAAGGTGGACATTGCAGAGTCCTGCAATGGGAAGGTGGGAGCAGGTGAGAAGAGCAAGAGGGACTGGGATCCCTGGACTCCCAGGAGCTCACAAGAGTCACTGGGTCAAGGAGGCCTGGAATCCTGTTTTACAAGTGATGGGAGAAAGCAGCTCTGGTATTCTGTAGCTCAGTAGGATGCAGAGTGCACAACAGCTTTCTATATATCGTGAAATGGCGAGAAGAGAAGGATTTGAAGGTTCCCAACATATAGAAATGATCAATGTGGTTTGAGGAGATGGAAATGCCAACACCTTTATGAAATCAAGATTCATTATTTACAGTGTACTTATGTGCATAAGTGCAAATACTATATATCATTTTTTTAAGAATAGTGTTTTATTAAAAAAAAGAACTTAAGAGTTGATAGTTTCTTTAATTTAACTCACTTGCCTGGTGAATAAGCTGGTAGAGAAATACCATCTCCATTTCAGAGGAAGAAACTGAAGCCTAAGAGGTTTCATTGACTGGTCCAAGGTCACAAGGTGCATTACACATTAAGACATAGACCAAGTTTCCTGGCTCAGAGTTTATTGATCCTCCAGAAGTTCTAAGTTCTTCAGGCCTGAGGTGCCAAGGGATGACCTGATAGCCATTTGGTAGGGATACTGTCAGGTGATGTCACCTGGGGGTCCTCCAACTCTGGATTCTGTGGGCCCAACCTGTACCTTGTGAACTCTGGAGCCTCAGTCTGCCTGGAGCTACGTGCCCTTAGGCATCCCTGAACCTGAACCTTGGCCTCTACCACCAGGTAAGTCCTTCTTCCTCCTGCCCCAGATGCTCTCAGCCCAGCTGACCCCAACTCCACCTCAGCTCTGCTGCTTGCTGCTCCTTGTTTGGAAGCCTCGTGGGTGGGGCTCAGGTAGAGCTGAACAGGCAGGAGGTCCGGAGCGAGAGCAGCCCTGGAGCTGCAGTGTGGGCTCCTGCAGCCGCATCCCTCCAGCCATTCACCTCCATGGCTTGGCCTATTTTTTTTTAATACTCTACAATGGAGATTTATTGCTTTTGCATTGCTTTCCCCAGGCTTTCAAAGATTTATTGGTTTTTAAGTGACAGAATCCCAGAATTGCTTAAAAGATCAATCAAATAGTGACTAGAATCTAATATTCAGCTCTGACTTGAACACGCTCAACCTTCTTCCCCAACGCCCCACCTGTCATGCTGATGTATCTGTGGTAACCTTCATAAGAAAGTGACTCGGCCCTGAATTAATCACCCATAATGCAGGCCCTGGAGGAAGAATGGGGGGCAGAGCCCAGATCCAGAGGCTTCTGTGGAGGAGTGCTTTACGCCCCATGTCTCCTTTCCCATCCAATCAGCCACCTGGACTGTCCACTCAGTCTCGGAATCTGCCCTGGGCTGGAACTCCTTCCTCCCCCCATGGCCACTCTCCCACCTCTGTGCAACCCACCAAGGTGCCCTCGCTGATTTGCCTCCTCTGGCCTCTCTTC